CCTCATTGGGTGGTTGGATGCATTGGAAAATTATTCAATCATTAGAGTTTTTTATTTTCGGTGAAACTATTAATTTAAATTCATACCACATGAATTTTTACCCTTTAAAGTATTATGGACTTGAATTTTACTCTTCTAAGTATCATAGGTTACAACTTCAAAAACATATCAAGGTTTAAAGTTCGTAATAATTTTGAAGAGTAAAAGTCCTATATATCCATCTTTACTAGATGTACATATATACATATTTTATAAATGAAAAATACTTATAGATTACCTTTAAAAAAAAAAAAAAAAAAAAAATGGGGTTAAGTCCTCTATTTCAATATCAATATCTTTGCCCAAAGGGAAGTGAAGACTGTCATCACCAACTTTCAAGCAAATAAATAACGAGCTGTATCATTAATTTAAATGCATTGTCTTTTATTACACTATGATTTATTCATTCAACATTGTCTAACGATTTTCTTAAATAATTTATAATTAAACTTGATTACAATTTAAACTTTAAATTTTATTGTTATAATTAATCGAACAAAAAAACAATTTTGTGTATCAACTACCAACATTCAAGTTACTGAAATAAATATATAGAATAATAAAATTCATGGTTTTAAAACCCGGACTGGCTCGGCTGGTTGAACCGGTTGGACTGGGACCCGGGCCTTCTCCATGTCAGGTTACCCTTTCAACTGTTCCAAGTTTAAAATCTATCAAATACACCCCTAATTAATCATCAGTCCCTGAATGTTTGAAATTCAGCAAATACACCCTCTGGCCAAATGCAAATCGGCAATGACCTCCCCTTTTCCGGTGACCTTCCACCTTCTCTTATTGTCAGAAATCACCTTCTGACTTTCTCCGGGGCTGTGACACTTCATCTCCCGCCGTCGCACAATTTTCGTTGTCCAACAATTTTTCTTCCATTTCCCGGCGTCGATCACGCCTTTGCCGACATCAATAAGCCTCCTCAACCACCAATCTACCTTCTCCCAAGCTCCCTTGCCATCGTTCACGAAGATCCACAATCATCTCGCCAAAAAAAGCCATAGCAACCGTTTGACTTCCATCACCGATCTGCCACTTTCTAGCGATGCCTTAATTTGCCAACTGCTAATTCATCCTCCCCATCACCTGATCTACCCTCTTTGGTGTGTCGTCACCGCTCTCTTAGTCGATCGTCGATTTGATTTGGCCAGGGGTTGTGTTTGCTAGATTTCAAACCTATAGGGACTAATGGTATTTATTAGGGGTATGTTTGCTAGATTTTAAACTTGTCAAACCATTGGTTAAACCGGTTAACCCATGACCAGATTGCCTGAATGGGTCACCCCCGGGGTCGGGTTTTGAAACCTTGATAAAATTAAAGAGAAAAAATAAAAACTTAAATACAAGTTAAAGCTTTACCTCTTCACAAGCAGTGTGTTCCTCTATCCAAAACATATTAATAAAAATATCAAACAATGGCAGAAGTATTTCAGGTATTGAGAAACAAACCCAGGGAATTTGCAAAGTAATTGAAAAAATATTTTCATATTTCCTATATTTGTAAGTCAAAAACCCACAATCATTTTCATAAATCAGAATTATTTAACATCCCATAAATTAAATTTAAACGTTACCGTGGGTGTAACTATTTGGCTAGGACTTTGCTTAGAGCCAGAACTTTTCATTTTAATAAGTAAATATATAAGGGTTTGCGTGACGGTTTTTTTTCCAATGGTTTTGAGGGATTAGACTAGTTTTGAGGTGTTTTAAAATCATTACTTGCCAGATTTTTTATGCACTAGTTTTGACTGGCTCAAAAACCCCTTAGAACCAGTGTAGTGTATTTTTCAGGGGTTTATAAAACACTCCAAATCGAGGTATTTTGGTTGGTTTAAAAATTTTATTCCACAAATACCCTATCCACTATAAAAATATCCCAATTATATCAAAAAAAAATTTAACCATATTATGTACGTCTCTAACCATATTAAATATAAAATAATTTTAAGCAATCATAAAAAAAAATTATTAAAATCTCATTTCTAGATGCTTTCTTGGAAAAATGGAGCTACAGTTTTTCAATCATTCCAGATGCTACAAAGAGTGGCGAAGAAGGATAAGGAGACTTTATCACATTTAAAGTTATAAAATACTAATAAGTAAAAAGCAAATAAAGAACTCTTACCTTGTAATTAAAAAAATAAAACTCTCAAATACTAGTTAGAGTTAGGGTATTTTTATGGGCATATATATAAATTTATCATTTTAAAAAAACTGTCAGAACCGCTGGAAAATAAACTCCCAAGCACAGGTTGGGTGTTTTAAAAACCGTTACTAAAACCCTCTCAAAATCACTACGATGGTTTACCCTCAAAACCTCTACGGTAGTTTACCCTCATAACCGCTACCATGAAACTCCAAAGCTGACCCTAAGAGCTTCCTATGTTTGGATTCATATGCAAAATTTCATAAACCAAAAAAATATTTTTTGATCATGTAAACAAGGAAACGTATAATTTAATTTTTAATTATATATTTTTTTATTTTTGGTGACTGTGGGTATCCGACCCAACTTGCGTACACCTTAACTAATTTTCTAAGGTCCTGAAGTAAAAGATCGAGTAAATCTCCTCAATTGTCACCCCTATTAGTGCTTGGGGTCATTCGCACTTGAGAACCATATTAGACTCTTTTGCTCTTTTACCATTAGACCATCCAATGATGCATTATTTATAAGTTCAATGAATGATGATATTAATAATGTATAAAATTAATTTAGAAGAATGATTTTGCAAAGTCAAAATCATATACTTTGGACCCACAACAAGAGGAAAATAAAACATAAACATCAATGAGTAAGAAATGGTGCATATTAAATTAGAAAATTTGTTTTCACATTAATTTAATAGCGTATACAATAAGTAGCAATGACTTTTTACTTGATTTTGAAGTTAATTTTTTTACTACTTAAAAAAATGGAAATAACTAAATAAACAAATAAAATAATATTACTTTATTAAATGATCTTAACTTGAAAATTAAATTATATATTTTTAATGCTAAATTAAAATAAATAAACTAAAGATAGGGGGATTTTTTTTCCCTCAAATTTTAAGTTCAGAATTTTTACAGTTTATCCTTATCTTTTGTACATTATAAAAATTAAAATAAAAAACAATTCATTTCTCTGCAACTTGAAATCTTAAACAACATGGCGTGATATAAAAAAAGAAAAGAAGAAGAAGAAGAAGAAGAAGAAACAGCGTGAGAAGTGAGAAGACCTGAAGAAGTCAAAGTCGTTGTTTAATGTGTTATTGATTTATTACATAAGTGTATTGTCTTTTTGAGTTGCTTTTGTGACGGTTTGGTCGTTGGCATTTGTGAAGAAACTTTCCAACTATACTTGAATTGGTCTGATAAAACAATACAACTTCTTTTTCCATTTTGGTGGTTGTTTAACGAAGCTGTGTTTTAACATTAATGGCAGTGAGTTCTCTTCTCTTACTTCATCTTTATGTCTATATTTTCCGCATTTATATCAGAATTATGAGATGGGTCTGCCTTTTCTACAGGTTCTGCTTTCTGTTTTGTTAAATAATAATGCAATACTGTGTCTACTATGCTTTGGTTTTTATATCAGTTTAGTATGTTTAATTTGGTGTCAAGATTTAGTTTTGGTCCTCTTCGTTTGTCCTTTTATGAACTTTAATATTAAAGTTATGATTATTTAGCTTCTGGGTTTTAGCTCTTGCATATATGTTGTTTAGTGATTTTTGCTCTGTTTGAGCATGTATGAATGGATTTTATTTTAGTTTTCCTTTTGAATCACAAATTATTTTAATGATTTATATGGGCACTGGAACACGGCTGTATGCTGTGTGGCGAATATGATCCGATCAACATATAGGCTTTTACTTATATATAAGGGAAAATAATGGAGGATGATTTTAGCTATACCATAATCTAATCTCATAGAAAATGAGTTGTACCATATTTTTATTGGTTGAACTTAATAAAATTCTAACAGACTACATTACCACGATGTAATAGTTTTTTGTTTTGTTTGTGTTCTGCTTGAGAAGAGGAAAGCTGGCTTAATTGAGATATGATGGCATGCTTAGAACACATTTGGCATATTCTTTGAAAAGAGTACTCTTAATGTGATTTTGCATAGTTTTTGGATTCAATTAATTCATACGCATTACTGGTTCGTGGATACCTTCATTTCCAATAGATTACAAGAAGGCAGGGCAAACCAACCTTAAACCTGAAATGATTACGGTCATTCCAGGAGAAGAACCTGACCTTGGTTTGGTAACTTTTCACTTTGTCTCAGCGGATGCATGCCAAAGTTTCTGATTACCCAGATTAAGTTCTTAATGCCTGGTTGTACCTTTAGTGCTTAAGTATGTATGCATCTGCACACTGTGCTATTATGAACATTACGGTTTGTTGTTAATGATTTCACTATGGTTCAGTTTGTCTTTAAAGAACAATAAATCAGTGAAAAAGAGCATAAAATGCTTGCTAATGAGAATGTTATCACTGCTACAGAACTTACTTTTGGCAACAATGCATGTCTATGATGCGAAGAAATTATATAAATCTAGACTGATATCTGGAAATGACTTTCCAGAATGCTGAGAGCAAAATATTCACTTTTTATTCCACTTGGTCATCAATATTAGCTTTGTTGAAGATTTATTTTCCTTAAATCTTCAAAAACAAGAATACTGATTCTTGAATTTACTGGTTTTTGTTACAAATCACCCTGTGTGATGATTCAACTGATACTGCCCTTGTTTGTTTATCTTCAACTTTTCTGTTCTTTGATTTTTTGTAGCAACGTTCACAAGTGCCCAAGTTTGGCAATTGGGAAAATGCAGACAATGTCCCTTACACAGCCTATTTTGAGAAGGCAAGGAGTAATAGAAGTGTGAAGAAAAATTCAAATAATACTAGAGGAAATCTGGATATTTCTTCTGATAATCTGTCTCCAGTCCAAGCTCCTCCTTTCCAGATGGAGATCAAATCAGGATCACAAAAGGGGCAAGAGGCACTAAGGAAAAAGCATGTGCAGAGCTCAAGCCGAGAGGATGGTGATCTACGGAGGCCATCTGAATCTCTGCTACACCATGACCCTGCAAACCGGAAAGATGCCAGTGGCTTACCTCTTCACCGTGATGGCAGCGTAAGCTCCAATGATAGCCCTAAAAAGGCCACACGGCAGAATGTAGGGTCTGATCACAGAATTGAACACTTGGCCTTAGCCAAAAATCACCAAGCAAGGGTTGGAGGCAAAGGCAGTGGAATATCTTCTCCCTTGTGGCCAAGAAAGAGTTCAACAGAAGGTAGCAACAACTTAGCTCCCTTAAATCCTGGAAGATCCCAGATGAGATCAGTTACTCGAGGAAATGACACTGTAATTTTCTTCCCTTTGATTTCTTGTCAACAACATTCTTAAATTTGCATTAACACTTACTACATTTTGCACATAAGCATTTTATAAGATGATCTCTTCACAATGTTGAGGAATAGTTTCAAACATTAGTCAGTTAAGCTGAGATTAAAGGCTGCAAACTCAGAGTTAAAATTACGAATACATGGAATGGGGTTTGCGGTTTTTTCTGTTTTCTGTTCTCATAAACGTGCTTCCAAGAAAAAGAATGGGTTTCTGTTTAAGAACTGGTAGAAGTCTGGATTACTGGAATTGTAAAGTAGTCCTTAGTACTAATACAATGGTACATATACTTTCTTCAAATGCATTCAGAAAATTGATATTAGCTTTTCTGCTTATTTATTGGCAAACATCACCTAGAAAGTAGGAGAAAATATTTTTGTTGAGTCCAATTTGATACAGCTGGGGTCCTTTTCGCTGTAGCAAAATTTCTGCATTTTGATATTCTGGAAATAATTGGAACTTTGGCAGTTCTTGTTCTCTCTGCTTTTCTAGTTCTTTTTATTGTCATCTCTATACTTTACCTGTTAAAAGTGCAATACTCATTTTTTTAAAAAGACTAAAATACTTTGTTCAAATTATTAACCGATTTTATGGAAAGTGGGTGGGTTAGAAGAGGTTGCATTGTGCCACATTGATATATATTATCAAGTTTAATGATGTTACAATTCTTATGGCAGCCCAATCACAGTGCTGCGGTTCCAAAATTTGGTGATTGGGATGAGTCCAATCCCGCATCAGCAGATGGATTCACTCACGCCTTCGACAAAGTGAGAAAAGAGAAGCTGAATGGAAATGGAATGGAACCAGTTGCCGCAACCCAAAACTCTTCCTCCAGAGTTCGGAAGCGGCATGACAACAAGACACCCAAGGTATGTAGCAATATCTGTTAATGAATCAATTGTAATCCCTCAAAGCTTCAATGATGCATGTCTTGGCCATTTCTGGGGAAGCAAAAGGCATCATAAATTAATTACCTAATCATTTAGTTTGTTGTTTGGCTTGATATTCTGATATTTCTGTCACTGGCTTTACAGAGGTGTTGGTGCTTTCCATGGAGCAAGTGAGATGTGTTTCTCTTTCCTGGATGAACATAGTGCATAGGAAATATATACATAAATCAACAGGACCTGAGTCATGTATATTTTTACATAATGTTTGAAAGGAATAATTTATTTTATTAAGTCTTCCTGTATATAATTTAGTTGCTTCTGGCGATGTTATATATTTATGTATTGGCTTATAATTTTACAGGGAAAAAAGATGTTCATAACAATGAATTCCAAATGTTTCAAAGTTTACAAGACCAGACTGAGCAACAAATTTTAATACATGGTCAGTCAAGAAAAAAGTAGTGCATAAAAAACAATATCTTTTGGATAAAAATGAAATGAAGAATTGAATTTATGACTGCTACTTATAAGCCCATAATTAGCCATTAAAAGAGCCAATTGCCTCGTCAGGCACGCTTTACCCCTATTGTCTAAACCTTACAAATTTATCTGGATCAATATGTATATCTTTTCAATTAAATTAAGTTTAATTTTAGAATTAATGACATTAATCCCGTGGAAGTACGACTGAAGAACAAATATCCTTCTAAGATTTTAGAATTAGCATAATTGCTTCACCGTTAAAGTTTTAGATGTTCAAATCAACAATAGAAAGACAATTTGGTAATATTGATTAACTCAAAAGCAATGTTTTAAAACCCGGTCCGGCCTGGCCGATTGAACCGAGACCCGGGGCCTTCACCAAACCGGGTTATCTATTTTCCTATTTATCAAAAACCCTAGAAATTGGGACAGTGATCGGTCAAAAATTGAAGGTCGGAATGTTGAGACTTTTAGAGAGGAAGGGTCAGTGAGTGTAATGGTGGCAATAGAGGTAATTTTCGATGAGTAAATCGACTGAAAATTGCAAAACTAAATCGACAGCAACAACGAGGTAATCAAGGGAGGGGTGATATGGGTTTTAGTCAGGAGGTTGAGAAGAGTGTTTTTGTCGCCGAAAACAGGCCCTATTTACCCTAGTTTGTCGACGTCAATGGTGGTGTTTGAGGTGTTTTTGCAAGATGTTAAACTTATATGGACTTATAGAATTTTTAAGGGTGTTTTTGTTATATTTCAAAGTTTTGGACACCGGTTTGACCCTCCGATCAAATCGGTTAAACCACGACGCCGGGTTCCACCCCAGGTTGGTTATTAAAACACTACTCAAAAGTATAAATTTCATCAATTTTGTTGTTTCATAAATTTCAGGGAAAGTTTTGTTATTATATCATATCTCAAGTGGTTTATATCTTTTAACTCTTAATTTTATTGAAAAATTAATATTATAATTAATTGTCTTAAATTCCAATGTTCAATTTTTTACTTTCAATATCATTTATATCCAATAAAATATTCCAAAGTTAACTCATAACTATTAACTTGTTATATATCTCAAATCTCATCTACTTTAATTTTTAACCTTTACTTTTCTAATATCAAAACATTATTTTTTTTNTCTACATTTTTCTCAAAATAACTTTAACAAAAATTCAACTAAGGGCCAACCAACCAATATTAACAATATATCAACCCAAATAAAAGCAAAACAATGAACATTTAAGCAATACACTATAACTTAACTATGTACCTCAAGTGGGGCGTTACAAAATTGTAATAATATTTGTAAGACTGGGTATTACAAATATTATCTGGGTGTAAATGGTATCAGAGCTTTGGACGACGGGGGGTATAGGTGTTTATACTTGTTAACCTGTTGAAAGTTCTTGGTAGCATGAATAATGATTTAAATGGTGAAGTCTGTTTGAATAAGACTTGTTTTCATTTAGATCATGGTCTCGAGGGAAAACCGGAGATCGGTTTGTTAAATACTGTCGTTGATAAGTTAGAGCTTTTTACTTAGAAGCTTGAAAACTTAGACAGGAGAGTGAATTATACGGTGTATCGTATATTTGCTCTAAACGAAGAATTAACCCAGATCGGGAATCAGATTGAAAAGGTTAATTCTGTACTTCAAAAGGTCAAAACACTGGAACGTGTTCTAACTATTTTACTAAGCCGGTAAAACAGGAGATGTCTCTTGTGCTGAGTGACATCGAACAAGTGTGGCCTATTGAAGGATATACTGAACAAGAGGTTAAACAGGTTGTGTTGGACCTCTGTAATGGCAACCCAGATATTCGTGAAGAGTATTTGACTTGGCTAGGTGTAAAGCGACTTTTGGATGTTATTCAAAAGGCTTTTAGTCAAGGGTGCACAAAGATTTTGTGTTTTATTTGCCGGATTTCTACCATTGAAGTCTCTGAACTAGAGCTTCGGAATAAGTGGTTGGAAAAAGTTGAGGCGGTAATTCCTTATTGGTACGACGAATCCCAGCCGGATCCAGATCCTTCACCATATAAAGAGTCAGACTTTGCAACAGAGTTGAGATATGATTCAGATTGACCATGGGTGGTCAGGATGTTTTGGATCAGTTCGCTGCTAGTTTGCAAAACAAATATCCCGGATTGCCTCTAGGATATGCACAGTTCATGGCCAAAGAAACCCAAGGTGATTGGGAAAAGGCGGAAAAACTCTTTATGAAAGCTGTTAAGGAAGAAGACTTTGTTTCTAAAATGGATGGAAAACGGAAGGTTGATATTCCGGAAATTTCTACCTCGGATGCTGAACGAATCAGCAGGTATTATGAGGAAGAAATGAAGAAACAAAGGAAAGGAGACGAAACTGGAGGATTGAAACTAACTCCAGGTCCAGGTCCTAAAAAGGCGGAGCTTGATGAGCTAATCTCGAAACTCAGGAAATCTGAGTTTAAAGATGATCCCCTTGAAGGAATTCGTAATCCTTTAAATTCTTTCGAAGGATTCCTTAAGGAAATCTCCAAACCTGAATATAAACAAACTTATCCTATGCGGATAAGGTCGGAGTTTATGCCTCGGGGAGTACCTAGAATGGTGGAGATACTGTCCAGCGAAAGTTTCCTAAACATCGATTGTGTTACAAATGTAATGGATGCAATCGAGGCATGGGAAACTGTTAACTGGGTTCATATACAAAATAAGAATTTTAGACTCAGTGATACTTACAGGTTTCTAAGATCCACACTGCAGGGAGCTGCAGGAAGTTTCTGGAGAAGTCTAGAAGCTGGTACGGGTCTGTTAGATACTGTAGGTGACTTGAAGAACAGAGAGGCTATCTTTGCTCTCTTCAAGGATATGCTCTGTCGAGAATTTACTGGGATTACTATTACCAGTAGGAATCTCGCAGAGGTAGTTGCCTTAGAAGCTTTGACAAAGCTTAGGTTTTGTGACATGTGTCTGTTTGAAAATTTCGTCTGTGAGTATAGACGATATTTTTATCAGTTGCCTGGTGGCACACAGGAAGTCATGAAGAATACTTTCTTTGCTAAGCTTCCCCCTGGATGGGATAAGGCAGCAAACGAGGCGTTTAAGCTTCTACTTGAAAAGAATCAGGTTGTTGATTCTTTGGGAGGAAGAATAGAAGCTGTTAGACAACTCGTGAGGACAAGATGTTTGAACGCCAAGCTGAATAAGGAAGCTAAAAGGCTTGAGTTTAACGAATCTTGTTGTCAAAACTTTGATGGCTTGCCAGAACAATATGACTGTGAGTCTAGGGGTTCGACTAAACATCAAGGTTGGAAAAACCATATGAAGCGAAAATGATCGTTCGGTAAAAGGAATTTTAAGCCGAAACGTTTTCGTAATATGGTAAAACAACCTGTTACTAATAAACGTAATCTTCCGGATCATGGAAGGTTTATTAGGCGAACAGGGAAAGGTAGACTTAACGCTAAGGAACGCGGAGCGCGTAAGTTTTGTGCTACCTGTCCATCTGGCAAAAACGCAAAAGATTGTAATTGTTGCTGGATTTGTGGTGACAAGAATTATTTTACGGATAAATGCCCTCATAAGGGAAAGAAGAAGGTTGCGGTACGATTTTTGGAAGTCAACGCAGAAAGCCAAACTTCTGAATTTGAGCCAGTTTTGGGATACGAAATTGATTCTGATGATGAGGTTTATGAATTAATTTCGGATTACTCTGATGATTCGGATTCTTCAGAGGATGACTCAAAAGATACGAATTTTGAGGAACAATCTTCAAATCTTCAACGCGTAGGTATATTCATGCAAAAGACTAGAAGTCTTAATGAATATCCTAGGAATAGCGGTATTGGTGATGAGGATGATCTTATCCCAATTAGAAATGAAGATGAAAGTCCTAACTCGGTAAACAACAGTGTGCTGGTCTTGTAAACAGGAAGGACATGAACGGGCTAATTGTCCACTGTCAAAGATAAAAAATTCTGAGGATTCTTCGTCAGGCGCTACAAGCGTGGTGACACACACTCCACAAAAAAAGCGGTTAATTGACGCGGATATTTGTGAGAGGTTTAGCTTTCCAGAAGGCTTAAGATTGACTTCAGCTAGTCAAACACTCTGGGAGGATCTAGAAACCCAAATTGGGATCGCGATGGCGACAGGACAAGGGGAAGTACAGCTGCAGAGGTGTTTAGAGAAGCTAGCAAGAAGGTTAGCATGGCTGGAAGCTGACAAACTGTTTTATGAGGATGAGGAGTTCAAGGGAACTGCGTTACTCTATGAAGCAGGAATTCAAAAACTTGATGTAATGAGAAAATGTCATTTGTTTGACATGTCAAAACTCAAACTCGAGAATTTGAATGAATTAATAGTGAAATTGGGAAAAACTGACTTGACGGATGTAATTCAAGGATTAGCGGTTTATCCTAATGGAGCTATGGAATTGTTTGTTCCATGGAAAATCTTTAGAAAAGGTTTCTGTAGAGATCTTTTGACTAAAGGATGGATCGATACAATGCAAATTGACGTACAGGAAGCGATGGTGGATCCGAATATACCAGATGCGGTTAAGCAAACGCTCTGTGTATTGAATCGGAAAGTTGACACTTTCACTTGCATGATTACTTCCTCATTGCAAGAGAACTCTGATGTTTAGCCTGTACAGATATGGGAATTTCTTGTAGGAGAACCATGGTACCGAATTATGCTAGATAGTGAGGTAAAAATGGGTTCTTTCGCACTAGAAGAAATTCAGAAGAAAGAAGAGGAAGATTGGACCAGGTTACACATTTCCAAAATGTTACTGGTTAAATCCAAACTGGAAAAGCTCGTGAGAGTAAATGCTACTGTCCATATTTAGGAT